CCGCAAATCCGGATCGAAAGTTACAGTCCCTTCGAGTGCACGGGAGATTTCAACGTTGAAAGAACGTAACGAGTCGCCCCCCTCGACCCCCGTCCGGGAAAAGCGCGGAAGCGGCGCCGAGAACCGTCCGCCAAGGGCCCCGGAAAAAAAATCGCGGGATGATAGAAGCGCGACTCCGCACCGCAGAACAAAGAAGAGAATATCCTACAAAGACGACAGAACAGTGGAGACAATCGATATTAGAGGGTCTGATGACAGGCACAGCGGACCCCAAGTGAAGAAAAGGAGGAACACGACCGTTCCGCGCCAGAGAAGTCAGATGGTGCGGAGGACAAGGAGCCAGGAAATGAGGGAGACGACAACAATTCTTCCCGCAGACAATCGCAAGACACCGATGAGGACGACGACAGCGACGGCAAGTCGGCCAGCGAGAGAACCGGCGAAGACCAGAGCGCCGCTTTGGAAAAAGGTGGTTCGCCATTTCCTTCGAGGACGCTGCGCAGAGAAGGAGAACGACAGGCACGCAATGGCAGCGACACCGAGGAGCATGTCGGTGACAGACAAATCGTACAGCACGTCAGCGCCGCCGGAAAAGGTAAAAAACCCCGCGTCGCACTGACTCCCCTCCCACTCCGATCACATAATCCCGTGCCCCCACGCGGTGCACGCCTTTACGCACGGAGAAGTGTCTTTGTAAACGCACAGCTGATAGCCGAATCTTTAATTTTGCAAGTGTTATATTCAAAACAAGGCGCTGAGTTGTTAACACTCTCCTGTGCGTTGTGTCTTCTGTTTCCCACCGATCGCAACGTTACGAACGAAAGTGCGCGCAAGCGGCGGAGCCGTGCAAGGACCGAAGGACGAGGGCGCCTCATTCGCGAAGAAAATGAAGGGCAAGCTGTTGCATTCCGTCGCCAAAGCCTTTGCATTCTCTGCGGCAAACGATGCAACTCTGTACCCGACAAAGGACGCGTTTTTCGCGGCGGTGCAAGCGACGGCGAAACTAACAGGGGAGACAGCAAAGGAAGGGCTGCGGTCTCACATAGCAGAGTGCGGGATTTGAGTTGTCATAGGGGAATGCAACAGAATGATGACGACGATCCGCGGAGAGATTACATGACAGCTGAAACATTGGTTTTGGGCTGAAAAAGGGATTCCGCTCRTCGGATCGCAGCAAACGGACCACCACCTCCCCGCTCGCAACAAGATGCGCACCGAGATGAAGGAGAACAAGACGTGGAGACGGAGCGGCGACGATCCGTGGGGCGCCCCCGCCTTCAAGACGGCACTCTTAAAAGTTTTTCAGATGAGGAAGGAAGGCCGGAACCTGGGCGTCACCCTGCAGCAACTGGCTTTTGCGGAGATGGTCATTAAATCTGAGATAGAACAGACAACGAAGACGACACGAGTTGCGGAGCAGATAGAAAAATTGGTATCTATAAAGCAGGCAATCGTCTCATCTCTCCGTAGCCGAGACACGGTAATGAGTTTTTCCGTCTTCAAACTGGACCGTTCCATATCCGTGGCTGAGAAGGCAGCAATGCTCTTTCGCTCTGGCACGCCGTCTGTCCACAGGCCTGGGCCTCCAAGCACCACAATAACGGATGACGATTACGACATCGAGTTCATTATCCCTCAGAGTACAGCAGCCGGAGACGGGGACAGGCGCATCGACAGTCTGTGCGCCGCACCCTGAACAACGAGGGACAGTTTTGCGACATTTCGACATGGAAGGGAGGATGCGGGGCAATGACCAAACGGTGGAACGAAAGGTTCTTTTTTTAGACGTTTCGAACCAGGAGATGCAAAATCGAAGGCCACAGTCGGTGCAGGAGAGAGAGAGAGAGAGAGAGAGAGAGAGAGAGAGAGAGAGAGAGAGAGAGAGATATGAAGACCTTCAGTTTTGCAGAAGAGAGAGAGAGAGAGCGAGTGCTTGCACGCACGTGCACCGCCTGAGGATTGTGAGCCGTATGCTCCATACAGTCTGATAACTAC